TTTTTTTTTTGTAATATCCCTGCATATTTTAGGTAGACCCTTATCTAGGTAGAAGTTCTGTTCGTTACATTTCCAATTATACTTATTCCCGATACTGGAACTAAAAATCGCTTCTTCTTTAGTTAGGTAACTTACAGTTATAATCCCTTAATATGCTCTTCTAAAATGTTCTTCTGAAAAAAGTTGTAATTCTTCTGAAATGTTTGTATTTATTTTACACTCAATTGGTACAGGCATAAAAAGCCAAGTACACATTAGCCTTTATATTAGCCTCGTCACCCACTCAGAATAGTCTACATTTGAATGTAATAAATAACATGCGACTGCCAGCGTGATCAGCATTTGGCCCAGCTGGACGAATCTCACCTAAAGGCTTATTATTACATTGTCAACTCGCCATATATGTCAATGCTGAACCTCCTGCTACAGTGTAATTGTTTCACTAAATAACAACACCTGCAGCGATCAACTAACTTGATTGATATTCGATAAATCGTCATCGACCAGCTGAAAATTCCGCTTACGATCACGTGAGTCAGTCTTGCTGTGCTCTCTTCAAGAATCCTAAGTAATACTTCACAGACTGTTAAATTTCAAGAGTAAACAAATAAATTGTTCCAATTTATGCTCGACCCGATATGCTCAATGAACGTTAAATACTGTAATAGGTAATGCGGTAAGCACATTATGGGAGGCAAATGTCATTGCCACTATTGCCACTGGCTTTGCGGTTTGATCCAGCAAGTATTGTTTCAATGGTACGAAACTTATTTTTTGCTCGGGATCCACTTGGACGAGAAGCGTACTAGTATAAGCACACGTTTGTACGATTATGAATTCACCCGCGAAAAAAAGTCACACTTCGTAAGCTTTAATGGACACTAACATATAGCACTAAAGATATACTAATGCGGCAGCACCGGTCGTCGCACCCTGATCGATTGACCATCTGCACGTGCGACATAGGCTGATTTTTTCCTGATTCGCCTACCTTTATTATGGGCGTGTCGAGGTCAAGTGGAAGCGCCCAGCTCTAGTTTGTTCAGTTCCGCAATTACTTGCTAGCCTTGCCACTACTGGAATTAGTTGTTCATCAAACTAGAAAGCCAGAATCGTCCCTCAAGCCGTGATCCTACGGCAATGCTGTAACAAAGACGAGGAAACTATCAATTTGGCCGGTTGCTTTCGCCGCTTCCCTTTTTATATCGTGGCATATTGTCGGCTGGGTCGCTGCAAAAACAAACAGACAGCCACATGCATATACACATACGCACAAACTGCCTAATAAGGTGGAAGTCGTACCAGCTTCTGTTTGACTGAAAGGGGGCGAGACTTCATCGTCGGGCTGCCCGAGTCCTCACTGGCTCGTACACATTCGACTGCCGTTCTTCGCGGAGCCCTCTTCAGCGAGTTGCTATTATACATCGTTCAATACGACCCTTATCTCCCGACTGCAACGAATTCGATCTCATTGGCTAATAGAAAAAAGGACTCTCTTAGCTATCAGCTACCAACTACGCATACATTGGTCTACAGCTCCTAGGAACGTAGTTTGTGCGGGAAACGAGGAAAACTAATGGCCTAAAGACCTGCACGATATCGCCCTGTTGTATCCGGTAGATGTGCTAGCTGCTGAAACCCTGCGTGCACAAAGTTGATAATCAATGAAAAACATGCAACGAATACTATCACCGCCCCGTCGATATGACATATGGTTACGTTTGCGACAACCGAGAATAAACCTGCCTCTTGACGTAATATCAGAGAAAAACATAAGCTTACAAGGTAGGGCACACGTACCTCGACTGTAACGAACAAAAACGCATATAGATATTTGGCTCACATCAGAACAAGCACGATAAAAACACGTATTTTACGTTGATTGCAGCACACATCGCAACAGAAAATGCTCAATTACTCTAGTCTTGCCTTCGAGAAGCTGTCGTTCAATATTCTTCAGTGTTTTGATTAACTGAATAAGGTCATAGTGCATGTTAAATTGACATGCTACGTCGACCGAGCTCAACAACCCTATACGTTATTTGTCCTTGTAGAGCTAATATTGGTCCGCCACCGGAAAAGGGTTCCCTGCGTGATCGGTTCAGACGGCCTTTCAGAGCATTGTATACAATCGAAAAAAGACGACTTGTTTCGATTAGTACATGCAAGAAAAGTCCATGGCATATAATTATCGTGGGGTAAAGTGGACTCTCTGATCGTATAGATAAGTTAGCCAAAATAAGAATCAAATGATTTATACTCTGTTGCGTTTAGCTGTTATATATATCTGGTAAAACGACCTTCATCTATTTGCTGATATAAAAATTATGGTTTCAGAAATTAGAATAGGTCACGAATTATTTGAGATATATTTCTGATATTTTATTTTAGCAAAAACATGATTTATCCTCGATATCAGATCAAATCTCAAAATTATCGATATATATAAATATAAATATCTTTCTCGGTAGCCATTTTCTTGTGTACGATCGTGCTTTTTTCTCTAGTTGAGCGTGACAATAGCTATTAATAGCAGTCAAAGTAAATTTTTCTATTGTGAATGCGCAGCGAGGTAATGTTAAGGAAACACTGGATGAATCTAACGATAATTAGAGCCCGAATATAACCTAACAAAATAAGGAGATTTTTTGCCTAAAGTGAAAACATTAAATAAAGCAAACTTCAGACCCCGCTCTTGTAAAGATAAGATCAAAGTACGTGTCAAGACATGTTAAACAGTAAAAACGATAACAAATTTAAGGCCACCAAAAGAAGTGGCGAAAATTATCTAAAACTCGTTTTTTAGATGAATTAAAAATATCGACTACAGAATCACCTTGCATTTCTACTTCTGTTCTCTTGCGACATTAACGTCGCCGCATTACAAGCCACGAAAGAAAATCACGTTACCCGAATCATCATCTACCGCGTTGACGGCATCTACTGTGCTTATTAATCGACCTCATCGACTCTGCTTCAGATTTAAAGTCGGTATTACCTCGCATAAATCGCGATAAGACAACAGATAAAACTAACGACTACCTAAGTTCCCAAATAAGTGAACATTTTGTTTTTCTGTTTGTTCTTTCTACGCCAATTTGTAATGTATGGAGCAACCTAAAACTGTCTAGCTTGTACTGACACCCAAAACCCAAAATCAGTTTGTTGGTAAATTATCATCGCCGCATTGTAAAGAATAAAATTTCTACTATTGATAGACTCACAGATTTCTATTTTGGATTCACTCTGGCGACTCTCACTTCAGTCGATTACGTATTGAGACTAAGCATTATGATATACCGGCGCAAGCCACTTGTAAGTGAAGAAAGACGTTGCCTGTCCTGATGCCACACGCACTGTCGTCGAAGTTGAAGGTATGAAGCGTCTCTCAGCCTTATGCGAAACGATACGTGCGTTTCGGAGAGCGCCTGCGTATGTGAACGGGAAGTAGCTACGAAGACAGGTTACCTCTGAGGAGCCACTCTTAGGAAACGCACACTATGTTGGACGCTCGGTGCAATCACCAGGGTGAATTCATCAAGTTAAGGATGAACGAGAAAAGCGCGAGAAAGACCACCCCTCAAAAAGGTCTGGGAAAGGCGGTAGTTTTTTCAAGATGCTGCTCTTTCTCTGAAGAACTGTGTATATTCGTTAGGATGGGTAAAAGCAGCCAGACACGAAAGCTTTAAGATTATGTCTTCAATCCTCGTTGGCAGGTAGGGCAGGGTTCGTTGGGCAAGGAAACGGTTGACACTAACTTATGAAAACTGTTATGCTGCTCGATTCCCTTCCTTGCTGGCATTGGCGCCTCACCGCCATTGCTACCTTCGCTTCTTTCGAAATCACCTCGTACATGAATTGGCATAGCTGTGTAGAACGGCTTGAATTCGCTTGTATCAAATCTACTTCAGTCTCTCATGATGACGACTTCAAGGCTGATGCTGCGTATGGTAGTGGTAAAGGGACCGAGGCGTAGGGGTAGTTAGGGTGAACGCTTTGCAATACGCGGGACAGGACCGGTCGCGCCTTACGACGAGGTTTACAGTCTGTAAGATGAAAGGGTAAATAGACTTCAAGAAGAATGAAGGCCCTTCCACGAAGGGCAGCCGTTCGCAAAGGTAGAACCGTAGAACAGAACGTGTCTTTGTGGTGCAGATATTTGCCTTCGTATCCCTCACATCGGAGTTTGTGCCCAACGAATATTGCTAGCGCACAAAACTTTTATAGAAGGCAAACTTCAAATTCGAGGCGGCAGGAATAAGGTAGAGTGAGAAAAAGAGACCTCACGCAAAGCTGCTCAAGTGTTCGGCAGCTCCCATAAGAAAACTCCCCTTAATGAACATAGACCACCTCGTATGCCTTTCCAGTTTGTTGGTGAGCAAGCTACCGCTATACCATCGTGGTAACCCCAAACATAAGCCCATATAATTTCTAGCCTTTTGGAGATAACTGGTCGTCATGCATTAATGGGAACGGAGCGAAGAGAATTGGGTTTTACAACCTTCAATTTGGCGCCGAAGGATGCACTCAGATTGTATTAATCCTGTGCGATTTTTTGGTAGCACATAACGCAAGCCCGCTTAAATAGGTCGTTAATTTGTAAGTGTTGATACAGTGTGCTATGAAACAACAGCGTACGTGCGTGCATACTTTGAACATTGCGTCCATCAGCCACAATAAACAACTTGGAGTGAAAACAAAGCAATAAATGGCTACTATAAAGGGCATAAAATTATAGTATGATCATGATCTGTATGAAGTACAAACATATTAGTGTCACCAACTGTAGCAGATGCCTTACCTGAAAAATGTATATGTTAGACTCATTATTTCTATGTTGTGTTGGGTGCATTCGATACAAGATGGATTAGTATAGGAAGAATTTTTTTTTATTATACATTATACGGTTCCCTAGTCACTATCGGATCTGTTCTTCGGTTGGTATAAGAAGGTTACTATAATGCCATCAATATTTAATATAATAGAAAATATCCATGATTTAAGTGTGCCCGAGTACGAAGTGTTGTGTGAAATAGTGTAATAAATAAATATAGTAGATAATATAAAATAAATAGTGTAAACTATTTACCCGGCCAGTTTTCTTAACGGAATGAAATCTACTTGACAACTTAAACAGTTTCTAAATCTTAAAAAAAACCGCTACGCCTTATATTTTAGACAGCTTAGTTTTTAGCCCTACCGACTTGGCCCTTAGCTAGTACCATCATGAGAACACAGATCCTTGTTCGCTCTTCAATCGGAAGTCGTTTGTTATGGATAAAGGTTACGGATGATGCGTAAAGTTTCAGTGTCTACTTGTTTCGAGTTTTCGTTCTACATGTTTCGAGGGCGTCACGGTTAGACATTCCATCATTCGAAGTTTATTTCTATGATGATCTTTTTTCCTACGTGGTTTTGATAGTTCTGCTAATAAATGCAATAGCTTAACCTGTTTTCAATTAAATATATACCATTAATTATATCTGTAGTGATAAAGGCAATACTACTGTTGCAATGTGTTTTCGTTTACAATCGGCTTAAGGTGCACTTTTTGTACAGGTTTATTAATGTTGCTCACGAAGCAATGTTTTCTACGCGTCCTAAAAGCTTTCAAGGTAACGAGCACTCACAACTATCTGTATAGCATTATATAATATACACACGTGTGCTAAACTTCAAAGAGCAGATTTGATCTTTATTCGTATTTTTTTTTGCATTAGCATTTCGCCTGAAAACTCTTAGTCAGCTGTACATGGAAAAGTAAACTAAAACGTGACCAACAGATACCAACGGATGGCTCATAGACCTATATCGTCTCAGTAACAACAGTTTTGAAACGGGTGACTTGGACTTTCTTTCCCTAACATTGAGCGCATGGTTTTGCAAACATCGTACTTCGTTATCGTACTGTTCCATCATGCGTGTTGCTCTTATGTTATTTATATTATAGTGAAAATTATTGTAGTACTAATTATAGATCTTTCAACAGTCTGTGCCGTCCTGCTGGTTCTGAATCCACAGATCATATCAACATTTCGATAATAGCGAATATGTTCCACATACAACAAACATTATTTTAGCTCCTTTCCAGTACTGTCTTTGTAGTGTAGATGACTGACTTCCAGCACGCAACAAAATGTGTTTACACCCGGATTCGAACCTGAATGTATCACTAACATATAACCACTGTACCATTGCGAGGACATATTATACATTGGTGGCAGCTGATAGGTTATCCATACAATACTGGCACCGATCGTAACTTTGAATACGATGAAGACCAAGCTTGAAACATAAGTAGAACAAAAAATATTTCCTACACTTTTTTCATAAATAGGCGCTTTTCATTTTTTTTTTCCATTGTTAGTACTTCTGAGATATTCTTGATCATCGTTTACACATTTTTCAATCAACGTCGAAAATATATTCGGTTTTGTAATAAAAAAATATACAATTATTAATGATTATAAAGGTTACAATTATAAAGATATTCAAGATTTTTTTTTTGCATACATTCACTATTCTTAAGTATTTTCTGAAAATGTCCAATAATTTCACGGAACTTATTAAAATCTTATTTGGGATTTGTATCTATACCTTTGTATTGAATTACTAAACAGAAGACTTAACATTTTTATACAGTTCGTAAACATTTCTATATTGTTGCAGTTGTTTTATTAGGTAATTAGGAGAATAAACGAACACAGCAAATACAATAGATTCGTGAATACTGATCATAAAAAAAATCCTCGAACAATATAAATCATACGTTCAATACAAAAACGTTTTTGTATTTATAATTATAGAGATCTATCAAATTATGGATTTTAGACTTTCATAGATATAAACAACGTTAGTGTCAAAATCATAAAAACGGCAACGACTAGCGAAAACAATAACGATTTAGATAAGTGCCCTGCAGATGACCATTACGCGTCATAGTTCTCTGACTAGTTTCAAAATAATGTCCAGCTTTTCCTATGTTCTACTTGACACAAAGTGCCAAGGCAGTTCCACTTCGATGTAGTAAACTCATCATCAGGTTTGAGTTTTTATCCATTATTTCTGTCCTTGCTGGTTCCAGTTATAGCTACATCAGCCCAAGCTTGGTTTCCGCTGGAGACACCGTGTACAACTCTAGCAATGTACGGTTTTTAATTCTTAATGTCTGATCTTAAATTCAAAGCCAATGATATGGAGTAGCGGTACAATGAGCTCGAGCTTTTTTCCGGTAACTTAATTGTACACAAGAAAGTTCTGAGACGTTCATAGTGCTGAACATTTTGAGATAAACGATTTTTTTCCACAAGAAATTTAACCTGCTTTTTGTGTTCCGTTCAGCTAAGCTGCTTGCGATATTAAAACACACATCTTCCTTTTAATACAACGTCGTCATAATACATACCTCATCATTACCTATCGCTAATTAGCTTAACAAGTAACCTTTAAGTACAAGCAATACAAATCGATTAGCAAACAATAAATAAATTTATTAAGCCTAGATTGTGTCTATGTCCGTGTAAGGTTGTTATGTCCGTCTTTACTGTATCCATATTTTATTTGGTGAACTTCATGTGTGTGTTCATTGTCTGTTCCGTTATTGTTTATTTATCTTACTGTTTTGTGTATTTAGTTTTTGTTGTTGTTTGTTGCTATCTGCGTGTACATCACTCTCCGTCATTCTTTCCTATTTTGCTATTTATACGACTCCTCCTACCGCTTGGTTTAATTCAGTTTCCTATTTCGGTTTGTTTCTTTGTTTGTAATAGAATATACAATAACTACCACAATATAATTGCCATCGTCGTCGCGTTATTCCATCATCATCATAATCAGTACCCATCCATAATATTCATAACCACCTTAGCCACGTCCTCTCTCGGACGCGTCCTTATTCAATAGCTTTAGTAATTGTTAGTTGTATCTAAATTTCGAGGTCGCTCTCCTCCTCGACGCTGAGGATTTCTCCATCTTTACCAACCGTTTTCAATCTTCTAGAGCCACTTTTAACAGGATTACTTCACTGCGTCCCTGGACGCGTAACTCCGTTCTTCAACACATTTGCTGCTTATTTTGCTTGGAAAACGTGCTTCTTTACAACTCGATAGTTGCTCGATTATGGCGATCAGCTTCGGTTAAATAGTACCTTATACACAAAACGTATCGATGGCAAACCATCGGCGGCACTGCGCTGTGCTTGTCATCATTGCTTTTACGGGCTAGCACCACGTCCAGCAGCACTAGCTTATATTAATTTTTCCTCATTTATTTATCATTAATTTTATTTCTCTTTTCTATTTTATTACTGTTTTGCTAATTACGTTAGGTTAGTACCGGGCTAGGTGGGGATTGTACTGTGAGTTGTACCTACGGTTTCTGTCAGTATCACCACCAGCGCCAGCCGGATCATTGGGTCCGGCATGGTCTTTGGTGCTGCCCCCCGCAGAACCGCTGCCACCGCCCTGTTTGTCGCTGACTTTTCCGACAAGACTTGCCAAATACTCGCGCGTCCTTCGGTGCTCTTTTTCTTCACGCTCTAGTCGTTGCCGTCGAAGTAAATCGAGGTTTGACCGCTTGCGATGTCTACGCTCCTCTTCGGATTCGGGGTCGGACTCGGATGACGGAGTTCTTCGCCTTTTACTCTTTTTGGCTTTCTTGCGTTTTCGTTGCCGTCGGGTGTACTCATCATCTGTTGAGGAGGATGATATGCTTGGACGTCGGCGTTTATCTCCGCTAGTACTGCTCGCCTTTCGTTTGACGTTCGATACGCCCTCCGGAAGAAACTCGATTCTTCGAAGATCAGCCTGATTTTGCCGTTGAAACAGATCCAACGATACCGAGTTGCTGCCGCTTGAGCCACCGGCGCCACCGACGGCCGTCGATGCACATGGCGAAGAGGCTCGTGGTGACGACGGCGTCGAACGGTCAGGTTTCTTCTGTAGAAGATATTTTTGTATCGTTCTCAGTGGGTCTTGCGCGTCCTTCTCGCGTTGGTCGCGTTTCCGAGCTGCTGTTAACGCCGCCGTCGTCGCATCGGCTGTCTTTGCTGAATCCACGATTCCCCCACCTTCTCCTGCGTCTACCGCCCCCACAGTGGTTACCGTTTTTTCTAACCTTTGGTAGAAACGTTCATTGCCGTCGGCGTTATTGCTACTTTGCCCCAAGTACTGTAAGATGCCGACCTTTCTCTCCCAATCTTCCTGGTCGCGTTTTTTATCAGCTGCAGCCTCGAGATTGCCCCCATGCAATTTTCCTTCAGCCAACTCGACATCACGGAATAGATTTAAATGCTCCACTTTACTGCTACTTCCCGATGGGTTAACAGTATCCACCGATTTGCTGGAAGGCAATGTTTGGTCATCATTGTTCACACTACTGCTATTCTCCTCCGTACAGGCAGCGTCGACGAAAGCGCCCCCGACTTTGGCTGTCGGCGGCGAAGATGAGGCCTCTCCGGCGCCGTTGGGTCGATCATTATCATCATCATCCCCGGGACTTTCACGGCTTCCCGTCCCATTGCGTTTTCGTAGGATATCTAACGATGCTTCAAAGTTGGCAATGTGCGTGCGTTTCGCGAGTTCTTTTTCTTTGGCTGCCGCTTCCGCCTCATCGCGACGAACTCGCTCGATGTTTTTTTTAGTACGCACGTGCCAACTCTTTTTGGGAAGAATATTCATAGCGAAATACTAGTGACGATGATGACTAATTTGCTAAACGCGGTTATACCGGCCGGATAATGGTGTGGTAATCTCGAGCGAGAAATGCACGAGGTTAACGTCTTGTGTATCCTAGGTATTGTGGATTGTTAGTCTCGAATTCGGTAGCAGCCAGCGCCTTGAATTTGAGGCGCAACTGATTGGGAAATCGAGACCGAGATCGGTCTTTTCGCCTAGCCAGCTTTTTGTGCAACGAAACTTTGAAATAGTTTTCCCCAACGCTTGTGCCCAGTCTAACTAGACCTCTTAATAGACTGAACGACGGACTCCTTCTCCTTAAGTGGCCTTGCCTCTTCTTCTTCAGTGAAATCCTCAGGGTTGTAAATGACCTTGATTACTAACGAACAGCTTGGGCACGTCGCCACCTCTTCACCGTTCTGGAATAGTCCAGATAATCCGAAAACAAAAATAGAGACAAGAGAATTAGCGATGTTAACATTTGCTATATAGCTTCCAGGTAGAGTAAGAATTTAACATAAAAAGATAAAATAGGTATGTAAAAAATTCTATGTGTCCTACAAAATGGCTTTGGGTTAATCTTAAATGCTATTCATTTCTGCATTGCTTTATATATATACATTTTGTAGACGTTATATATATATAACATCTACAAAATGTATATAATTGTATATACGTTTTTTAATCCGTGGCTGATAGCACTAACTTTTCAGAACATGGGAACAGAATACGATAACAACGTAAATAGATAAACGCTTTCGGGACCTATTGAAAATACTTCGGAAAAAGCGCCTTTCCTTGGAAGCGCCCCATAATATTACAATATTCTGTGAAAGCTAACAAAAAGTTTTAACAAAACTACTGCGTAATAAAATCAAGCGTCATCGATAACAATCGTAAAATCTCAATTTGATTTCTATGACTAGTGTGGTTGTTATGGATCTGTTCATTGCTCTTCCGCTTAAAAATATCTTTCCAATAAACAATAGCTGAACTCCCTAAATCGCCTTGGTCAGTGCTCCATTCACCGCAGAAAAAAACTGTCATCATGGAATGGGTGCCGAGAATAATTGTTTTATTTTTTGTTTTAATCCTTGCGTAGTTGCTTTTTACTTTTTACCTAATTGATAAATGAAATCACTGTTCAACATTTTACTTTGATGAACGACGCAACGTAGTGGTAAGCTCTACCCGCAACAACTGATGGACTGAAAGATGATGCTAGAAAAATATATGATAAAATCTTGCAGAAACTGCCAAAACTGTTCAAAATGGCAACTATTAAGTATCACTACACTAGGTTTTAACTACGATATTACTACAAACAGACACGCTGCAATAACGGCATACCCACAAGAAAAGTAATTGCGTTCATTTTTGGCGAAAATCGTAGCTATCTAACCCCGGACTAATTTTACGACTCGCACAACATTTGAATTAAATCATGGTGCCAAACGAGGATCGTTGTTGACGCAATTCTTACCACACAGAGTTTTTCCCAATGTTCTTTAAAATCTCAGAACGACCTCTATTAACATCAAACACATTCGGTTCTAATATCTAATAGCTCTTTGTTCCCAGTAAAGACAGCGCTAACCCAGCTGATACCACAATGATTACCGCTACATAAACAAGAGCGCAAATCGAGTGACGTTTCATTACGTACGACACTTCTGTCTCTTCTCACTTTTTTTACGCATAATTCTCTGGAAATATTAACGAAATTTAATCGCCTATCGTGCATTGATGCTATTTTCCTTCTTTTTTGATTTATTTGAAACTCCAGCTATCACCTGGTTTATTTTTCATGTTTTACACCTGGTACGTAAGGTGTTACGCATTACTTCAGACGGCTAGCTTCTGCCAGCACGGATCGATTTGTGTGTTTAAGCTCGAACGCTCGAACTTAAACCACCGCATCTCCTTAAGTTTAGCAACAAACATATCATCCACTGAACTATAATCGGATCTATATCCTCGTACCATTGTATCTATATTTACCAAACTGTGTGTCAAAGAGTCCTTCTAGTTATCAACCGCACTGTCCGCCACATCGTTCCCGAGCTGTCTCACTGAAACTGTTCCCCCATGTTGAACCCCAGGAGTCCTTTTTTTCTCCTTAGGCCATTTACGACTGACCGTCGGCTTCATCTGCGCGTTACGGCCAACCGGAGCATGACGTTAACACGAACGACAGACGAGCAAAATCCGAGAGAGTCAAAGTAGATAATTCAGTTCAGCCCAAACTATTTCTATAGCTATACAGGTAGACTAAGTTCTACCCATGACAGTTTCTCGTTTTGGTCTCAGTTCACGTTAAATTTATTACATCATGCTATACGCGCTTTTAGAGGACCCTCTGCCAACGACTATGTGAAACGACGCCTACGGCGACATGTAAGACCGTTCTGTACAATCAAAGCCATCCGAGGTTTGATTCACAAAGACACAACAATTACAGCCGACATAGATTAAGGAGGACCAGCACGGAGCAATAACATCATAAACATAATTAACAACGCATGCATTGTTAACATAATAAAGTATATCGGCGACAAATCAGCCCGCTATCTGCTAAATGTGACGGTCCATCATGACGATACGAGCACTAATGCAAGTAGCATGTGCGTCACAGCTAATCGACGCTGACCTGCTGATCGTTAAGTCATAGTCTGCTTACAGTAAGGCTATACAGGGCTTTCATTCTATTTTGCTCAAGACGCATTTTATCACAAAAGTATACACAGACAGGTAACACTATCGATACTGAAGTCTACGCTAAAGTTTACTTGCTATCTCCACATGAAGTCAGGCTATTTTTCCCTTACTCTGACGAAGAAATGCCATTAGGTAACAATAACCATCATTATCAGCAACAGGTCGGCAATTTCAGTCGGTATCACACAATCGTTAACGAAACGCGGATCACTATCATCATGATAATCATGATCATCCTCATTGCTCCGCTGATATGCGCAGTTATTTTGAATATTGGCCAACAACTAACCACCCGCAATTCCTGACCATCATTTAAACCGGCCTTCTGTCCTTCCGAATATCTACTAGGGGTAGGCAAACTATTTGAGTTGCTTCTGTTATGATTTGTCAACTTCGTCTTCATCCTTTTTACATACTGTTGAGAGATTAGCGTGTCTGTGAGTTTTGAGAAAGAGACCAACCGATAGTTACAGCTGTTTCAATAAAGTTACGCTAATTCGGACTTTCGTATAGCGAAGAGGCGCAAAAGGTTTTAGGCGGTAAAAAGTGTAATAATAATTAACGCATCCTGGCATTCTGCGCGAAGACGGGCCAATATATGTACAGGACGACACTAATCTAAAAAGAAAATGGGTTCTAAGGTGCGTTGGCTCGTGTAACATAAGGATCCTACCTTGAGTATAACTCATGAAGCTTAATACAAAACGAAAATTATTGAGAATCGCAGCGCTTCCTGGCTGACTGTCGTTGCCAATCTTGAGTGAACGCCATCGTGATCAAGAATGTCATTGTGATTAAGCTATATTTTTTTGCGCCTAAATTTTTCCCTATATATATATATATATATATATATATATATATATATATCGGGAAAAATATATATATGTCGGTGGAATATGTGTGTATGTGTAAGTGTGCAACTGGTTTTGTCTTCCATCATTTATTTTAATCACATAATGAGCAATTTAGGTATTCAGCACAGGGAATTGGTGGAAGCAACGAACGATAAGCTTTTTATTTTTTTCTTTGCACTATAAGCACACACGATGGAGTAAGTTATTTCTACTGTGTTTTTTTTACCCTAATGTTTGTCATCGTTCTTTTTCGACATCTGTTATTTTTGTTTTGTCATCGTTCGTTCTTCTTTTACGACCCAGCTCCAATATCCACAAGAAGATCTACAAACCCTGCAAATTACGTTCTTCGTTCTCTCCGGTATAAGCTACTAGATCTACAATACAGTTACAGACGTATACTTCCGGAAGTTGTTTTTTGTAAAAGAAAGTGTGCTCTGCCTCTTCAGTTCATCTGTATAATCATCATAAACATCGTCTATATTCCTGCTTTCAAAATACTCGCCTTCTTGGAAACGAGTTCAACATATTTGTTCCCTTGCTTGCAATTACGCACATTACGCTTCGATGCTGCCCTGTCGACTTTAGGTACTGTGTCTCGACATGTCTCTACAAAACGTAAGTGGCAAAGACTCGGTAATCACCAAATCATCGACTGCAACTTCCCCCATCATCAACAGCGCCACAGGCCAGATCCCCAACGCACCGCGGCTTCTCATAACATTACCATCCAATGATATTGGTACCCCTCGTTAAGTCACTGTTGTGCTACTAAACAAACTACGACTACCACGTAAAGAAAAGGGATGGAGCTCTTGCGATGATTCTCTGCGAGAGGAGGGTCACCACTTGAAAAGTTACAATGTTGCAGTAACATATCCAAGTCAGTGCTACCCACAGCATCTGCGGCCGTAATTGAAGCCGTAATTACATCGCATCGCAGTCTAGCTAACACTAGCGGCTCGTGACCTCCTTATCCAGTTGCTCTCACAGCCGTTTACTGTACTGATGATGCCATCGACAACCTGCTGCAGGATCAATCAGTCTTCTCTCATGTCTTGTTTCTCTTACGACAACTACAACACAGTTCACTGTCGACTTCTGGCCGCTCTGTCGCCATCGACCGCGCTAGCAACGACCAGCGTATTTCTTTCGTATGCTTTCGAAGCGCTTTCAGTTTTTCTACGCGGAGACCCTCTCACTGCTCAGCGCCAGCGTCCAACCCTGAAACGCTGAGTAAACGCCGAACACTGTACCCGTACTGTCCCGTATCGCGAGTCAACGAATGAATGGCATCAACGGATCTACCTAACACAGGCAACCCCAGCGGCGCCGTGGAACGAACAGCTGCTCACACACAACTCCAATATCGCGGAACTCCTCTCTCACTGCTGCTGGCGTAACTCAGCGCAGTCATTGCCGCGGCTCTCACCCTCATAGTGGCGAGGCCGTTACAGAGCTGAGGGTCCCCACCTTTAGCGACACAGTCGTTCTGGCACGCAGCGTTCCACTACCACGAGGCAACACTCACGGCCTCAATATAGACGAACCAATATAAAGTTGGCAATCGTGGTAACGATACTGAGCACAGCAGCACTGACTGTATCGGACACGCAGCGAACAGGCCGATGAATAAATGTCGACCCAACGCCACTTCTTGAGGCCGTAGAGACCTAACCGAGTGGGTAGGCTCATTGACGGACTGGTCACAGACAGGCAAAGTGGTCACATTGCAGTAACGATGCCGAAAGGGAACAGCAGTCCGACTGTCCGTAGACGTCGACCTGTGTTGATGACTTGGATAGTGGAACGGGCCTCCGGTGGGAGCTGGTATCTGCTCATTCGTA